AACACACCCCACAAAAGATCCCTATCTCACGTATGCATATTCAATGGGCAAACCCACACCGATCGGTTTGAGGCACATCAAATCGGCCGACATGTTCACGGCCCCAATTTGGTGGTTTAATATACTAAAAGGAAGGATAGATTTGCTCACTTCAACGTGCAAAGGCTTCACGATCAGCCAGTCGAATCGAGTGACTTCTGCCAACCGATCAACATAATCGGTCATCATAATGTTCATGGCGTTAAAAATAAAAAAGTGAAATATTTTAGTGTACACTCGTGTTCAAAAACTTGTGACCACTTAGACTTTTTTTTTTAATTAAGATAACATGAAACAAATCTCAAATCCAGTTGAGACAATGGTAACGTGGTAAAAAAAACATATTACACCCAATTATATTTTTGATATGATTGTGATGTACTGTCACAAACATCTGGAAGACCCAAATTAGGTTTTTTAAACCTTTTGCTTCTTGTAATGTCTTTGTTTTCTTGTGTCCGTTTGGTTTTTATCTCCATCTTTTCTCATCAGGCCTGTTCCTTCTGTCGACCAACTTGCTCTCTCCAGCCACTCGTGTCTTATCCAGGTGTGACCTGTCGTCCGATCAGTTTGTTTGTATTTAGTTCCCTGCTTTCTTTCAGTCTGTGTTGGTTCGTTGTTGGTGTTGCTGTCACGTGTCACGTAGCTTTTGTCCTCATTGTTTTCACTGCTGCAGTCTTCAGTTTTTCTTCTCCTGTGTTTTATTAATATTTGCTTCATGATTTCTGGGCTTTTTTTTTCATATTTTGTCTTTATTTTGCTGTCGTACTTTTTGTTTGGCTTTTTTGTAATAAATTCTTTGAGTACATCCCACACTCCTGCTTTACCTCCCTGCATCCCTGCACTCCAACTTCATCAACTTGTCTATCTGCCCTTTGTTGTTTTTGTTGTTTGCGGGGTTTTTTTGCATCTCGTCGGCCATATAGCAAAATTGAAAAAGTTGTTTTCAATATTTTTCAAAAGCGATAAAAAAAAAAAAAAAAGGTTTTTAGAACGTACAGTGGTATTTTTAGCGGGGCTCTTTCAATTTACTCGTTCATCCATCTGGTTGAAGTTTTGGTGACAATTTCCATAAAAAAAAAAAAAAAAATACCAAAGTGTGTTCTTACAAATGGTGCTTTGTCGAGTTTTCCAAAAATATTGAAAAATGATGAAAGGCAATTATGCTATGGTGACATGCTTTATATTTCGTTCGTCTTCTCGACTGAGCCATTTAATAACTGGCACACAGTCACCACGTGTTCGTAATGAATGCCCGTTACATGCATATGGGGGCATTGTATACTATTTCATTGCTCTAATTCTGTATACAGTGCATGTACAGATATATGTACATCCCGTGTGGGAATTTTTACATTAGTCATTTAGAATTCATGGCGAGACGTAGAAAATTCTAGGCTCATATTTCAACAGATTAAAGCGACAATCGGGTTACATTAATCACAGTACAACCGTGTGTGTGTGTGTGTGTGTGTGTGTGTGTGTGTGTGTGTGTGTGTGTGTGTGTGTGTGTGTGTGTGTTCGCACCTCTCCCAGTCTCTCTCTATGAAAGGTGTTCTCCTGTTACCTGTCCCGCTGGGTGCGGCTTCTAATTGGAACGGGTAGGAAGTCCTTTGGGATTATGATGTGTATGTGTTCCATTAATATGATCCCCCCCGTGGTCATATCGCTTACTTCTTCTCGGCCCCGTTTTTTAGGACAATCGCGTGGAAATGAATCCGTAACCCAATATCGCAACCTGTGCCAGAGGTTTCTGGTTGGAGGATCAGTTTGGAACTGGTTTTACTCGAAAAAAAAAAAAAAAGAGGGAAGTAGGCTAACAGTCAAAACGCCTTCTCGGGTATAGTCAAAACTTTGCAGTCCTGCTTCATGGCTGGTTTTTCTGTTCAAAATATTGAAATTGGTTTAGAATGTGTGTAAAAAAAAAAGTGTGTTTTTATAAATTTAAAGCATGTGGGATTGGAATTTTAAGGCTTACTAAATAGGCACACAATGGCTTTTTTTGCACTGTGATGACACGCACATTAGGTTGAACTGAGTCTGCCGTTCCAGCAAAAGCACTTTTCACCACTGTGGTATCTGCCAGCCTGCACTGCTTGCCTGTTTGTCTTGGAAATGAAGCCTACCACAACTTCACTCAGGATGGAAAAGTCATCGAAGAAAAATGTCCACTCGCGCTGTTTCTGATGTACGATCAATTCACGTTAAAACGCCCCCAAACTACTTATTTGCTAGATTGATGCATTGAAGTGCTTGTCCAGATATGGTCTCACTTGTATGTGGGAACGGGGAGAAAGATAACTGCTTTCGTACACACGTACCGATAATTCAGCCAAATTTGATTTTTGATTCGAATATCCTGTGTTGTGGTGTGTTTCAATTGTTTTGGGGTTTGTTTCCCCCCCCCCCCCTCGAAATCTCTAGTACAACACATACTGTAAGAGATTATTTCTCCTTTGACTCAGAATCAGAATTGCCTTTATTGTCATTGTATTGCATACAACGAAATTTGGGTGCCACTCCTTAGTGCATATCGTAAAAAAAAAAAAAAAAATGTGGACTCTCTTCCAATTTAAAAATGGATGAAAATGGGTTTCACGACGACTAACCAATGGGCCAATGTTGAACATTTTCCATGACTTCAAGCATGTGGATATGCTGCGTTGAGCACACCACTAGAGGTAAGATCGGGCCGCCCGAGCCCGACACGACCCGACCCGAAATTCGGGTCAGGTCGGGCCCTAAAATGTCAATCATTGGTTCGGGTTCGGGTCGGGTCGGGCTTCTCTCTCGTTGACTTTTTTTTTTTTTTTTTTAAATAAATATTGTGGCGGACACTAGGACCATGCTTCTCACCCGGCCAGCGGGCATACAGTAGGGGGCGTGTTTATGTGAATCTCTACCAAAAATACTCACAAATAAAATATGAAATGTTGGGTTTGCTTCGGGCTCGGGCCTGCAAATCAAGCTAAGTGATCGGGCTCGGGCCGGGTCGGGCTTTTATACCCTCGGGCCCGGTCGGGTCGGGCTCGATTTTTTAGGACAGATCTTATCTCTACACACCACCCACGATAAGAGCACTGAGCACACACTTGAGAATTGTGTCCTTATCAAGTGGGGTCTCTTCCATTCTAATAAATGATTCAAGCGTGGCATACCAAAATTCTGGAATAAATTGAGCATTTTACCCCCATTTGCGAATGTGTGTTGTGACGTGCGTTAAGATTATTTTCCCCTCCTAGATGTTAAGTACACCACGCATTCATGGGTGGGGTCTCTCTCTCATTGTAAACATCATTTCAGACTTTAAAAATCGTAATGCGTGTACATGAACAGACACACACCCCTGCCCCCTTTTCCATGCAGGCCGGAGCGGAATGAACTGATGAACGGATGGGAGGAGATGCTACTGCACATGCGGGATCAAACAGGCGGGCCGTGGAATGATTCACTTGGACGGCCCGAGCCAAAGTGATTTCCACCTGCCTGTCAGCACATTCTCACCGTTGTGCACGTCGCGGCACGTGTTTTTATTTGGCTTGTTTCCTACATTCCTGCAGCGCCATCATTACCAGAACTCTGCGTAATTAGATCATCAACAGACGGCGAACATGAATTAAAGCAGCACTCATGGGAAAAATGTGAGAGACTGTTCACTTGACGCGCACATATTAACCCCTTTTGGCCACTAGTGGGGGCTGGTGAACAGATGACGCCACTCCCACCCTTGCGGGCTTGGATTAACACACATAAAAAAAAAAAAAAAAGTTGTTTGCACAATGCAAGGAACCAACAGTGATTTTCTTTTTGGAAAGGTTTGTTTAAGGACACGGGTTAAGACACCAAGAGGCAGATCGGCAAACAATCGTTGAGGGGCTCGGTGTGAAGTTACACACATGTAGACTGGGGAGGATGAGGAGTCCGTAAACACTTTTTCCTTTGCCAATACAAAACTTTTTTTTTTTTTGGACTAGTATAAAAACATGTTTGTACTGAAATAAGCTTTCGAGTATGTTTTTTAAGCATGTTGGTAGGCTTAAAATAACAGTTCCATAGATATTTACATGTCATTTTATGCGTGTATTATTTTTATGGTTACAGTACTTTCCCACCCACATCCAAATTATTAGCGGGTGTGTGAACTTGTGCGACCTCATTACAAGTTCTAGATCCCATTAATGGGGGGGAAAAAGTTTTCTATCTACTCAACTCAACTCTCACCTCAACTGTATTTATAGAGCACTTTAAAACAACCACCTCTGTGTACAAAGTGCTGTACATGGCGCAAATATCATATATACAACAATAAAACAACAAATTAAAAACAAAGACAGTAGAAAGCACCAAACAGTAAGACTAAGATCAAGTCTGAGTCAATCTATCTATCCATCCATTCATCAAAAACAGTCAAAGTTGTTCCCAGGCTGCACACCCGTTGAGTCACATACCGCGGTCCACAGCCTGGCCTCACATTTATCTCCCCAAACAACCCTATAGGCTCAAAATGTGGACCGAGAGTGAGGAAGTAAGAGGAAAGGAAAGGAAGGGGTAAGATTTGCAAGGCTTCAACTGCTCTTTCCGTCACCCAGGAAGACGGCAACGTGCCTGGAGCTGGCGGGAAGGACAAAGAACACGACGCTGTGAGGCGCAGGCAAGCGCTGTGGGAAGGAAACAAATCCTTACTATTCAAAGTCTGTCGAATCCAAATCATTATAAAAACCACAATAATAGCCACAATGTGACGTGAATACCTCTCTGACAGCGTCACTCAAAAGTGACCTTGATCTCTTGGTGAAGTAAGGAAATGATTGACACAGAACTTGTTCGATTGTGCAAGTGTACCTAATGAAGTGGCTCACTTTTATAATACATTATGTAAACAGTTGCTGAATCTTTTTTGTTTCCGCTTCCATCCATCCATTCAACAGCGCTTATCCTGAACAGGGGAGTTGCTGGAGTCTATCCCAGCTGACTTCGGGCGGAAGGCGGACTACAGCCGGAACTGGTCGCCTGTTCGTCACAGGGCATGTTTCTTCTTAAAAAAACCACCAAAAATTTATAGTAATATAACATATTTTGAAAGCACAGACCATTTTTTTGGGGGTGGGTGGGGCATGAAATAGAAATAGAAAATAGATGGATGGATGGATGCACTATGCCTGCAAAAACAAAAGTGTTTCCCTCCAAGCCTCCACTGTACACGATGTAATTGATTTTGCCTGAAGCTGTCAGTAATGCGTGTGAAATATATGCTGGATCGGTCGGTCTTTCCATTTTCCTGGCAGACGCATAACTCGTTCCCTGCACTTCCTCATGAGACACACCTGGCAACCTGGCAACTACTTGGTGAAGCATCAAACAGCAGATAGGCAGCATACCAACAAAACGACAGTACGGTAATGTATTCTGAGTAACTTTCTGAAGTGCTTGCCAATTTCCCTGTCAAAATCACAAATGACAAACGTCAGCCTTGACAGGTTCTAAATCCAGCTCAGGTTTTCTCAACGTTTATCGAATCATGAGCACATGAGAAAAATGTCACAACACATCACCATACAAAATCTCACACAAATCCACCACCCCCCCCCCCCACACACACACACACAAAAATGTACTTCCTCATCAGATGTATGACAAAATGCTATTTTTGATATGGACAACATACGTGCATGTGTGCAGAATATGTGCTCTTCATGTATTTCATTTTTCATAATTTTTCAATGCATCTATAAAATATCCCCCATCCTAAAGGGTTTGAAGCAATTAAACACAATAACCACATATTGTGATTTTTTTTTTCCAGTGCAAAGGATTCTCATGCATAAAAAGGACTATTCAAGGATGGCACAAAACTGCTCAACAAGAAACCAAGTGTAAGAACTCATTTTGTGCATCTTTCAAAAAAATCAACTCACTCAAAATGTTAATATTATTGAGGTCTATGTTTGTCCTGTTTATAATTCCTAACCTTCCAAAAAATGATTAGGGTTACTCATGTGGCAGTATTGGACAATATGAGACCCAATATCAGCGGAACAAAGGCATGTCTGTCATCTAGTGGTGAGTGGTGATATTGCAACTTGAAACTACAACTGTCAATGCATTTTTTTTTTAAATTAATCAAGAGGCCACTGAGAGTGTGGCCACCAGTTGCCCGTCCCTGCAAAGCACTTGTATTTTCTCTTTGCTTGAATTCAATCATGTATCTCACCTTCTCCAACAAATGTCTGGCACGCGAATCTTTCTGTCACTGAGTTTAGGAAGGGGTCCAGCAGACGGCAAGGCGTGTTCAACGAAAGGCGGTTTTGAGGGTGGCTTAAATGGATGAAGAGAAGGAAAAATTTGAAAAGGTGAAGATACGATCGGATGACATACCTTTGATAAGATATGGTGATACAGCATAAAATCTTCAAAGGACTGTGAGTGATCTTTACACTGATTTCCTGGTGTGAAACACACTACACGCGCTCAGGTGTGACTCACCTCAAAACGAGCACAGCCTCAAGGGCAGCACAGTCACGAACATCAAACAAAGCAATCACTATCGTAAAGCTGTTTTCTGTAGATTTGGGCAGTCGACTTGCCCGGTGACAGTTGGGACTTTAAAAACAAACCAGACAACAAACTGACAAGGGAGGCCCCACGTGGGACAGCAATGTCCTGTGCACTAACCAGACATGCTGCAAGCGTGTGACAATCAGTCGGCGCCGTACCTACGAGTACGTAGGCGGTAATGCTTTGAAGGAAAAAAAAAAATTGTGCCGCGAGTACCAACCACTTCTGTCATACGTGCTAACCACTAGTCTACCGTTCTACCTAACACAGTGATACACACCTGATTCCCAACCACAGTGTGGCTATGCATTAGTGTGCCATGGGAAATTGTCAAATTTTGGTATACTGTCTGGGCGATATCGTCGTTGATTTTCAGAGTAGCGTGTGTCTGGAAAACTGGGTGTTCCGGCACAGTGCGGGTGTGTCTGTGGCACAAAATTAAACTCTAAATTTACACTTGCTCATCTCGAAATAGTCTAACGTGAGTTTGGTGAATTTAATTTGGGGCACTGGCAGACAGATTCTGAGCTCAGTGGATATGTGTGGTGGATTCCAAATGTATTTCATTCATAAACATTTGAACAGCGAGCATTAAACTCTCTGAATCTTTTTTTGAAAATCATCCCACTGGGCAGCACAGTGGGTGGGCTCACAACTGATCTCCAACTGCACACTTGATGACGCAGATGTGTTCCTTCTATGTCAAGACTAGTGTGTGATTAGCGAATGAAAGGAGCCACATTGATTGGCCAAGATTGATGTAGGCTGTGACCACTACCACACCGAAACAGCCCTCCCTCTCGCTGATCCGCCGCCCTGCGCGTGTCTGAAATAATCAACACCAGGTCATCGGGGTCGATCAACGCTTTGTCGGATTTACACCGTCATCAAATTAGAGAGCTATTGGTCAGAATATTGTTTATTTATAAGAAATAATGTCTGTTTGTTCATTTATCAATAACAGTGACAGACAGAACAATTAAGTATTCGTCCACCAAATGGAAGAAGGTGCTGTGGCCATTTATACAACAGAATAATCGATTTGTGTTCAACTGAACAGGCTCAGATTTCAGACAAAGTGAATTATTTTGCCAGTAAATTTTTATACACAGTAGTACCTTTATGATGAGGCTTGCATTTCAAAACACTTAACCATAAATCCTTCTTCCCCATTGAAATGAATGGAAATCTAATTAATCCGTTCCAGCTCTCCACAAAACACTTCAAATTTATTTTTCAACATGTTTTTTTTTAATTGCATTTAGCAGTACTGTACTGTCTTAAAAACAATAATGTGATGATAATAATTATATATTGTTTGGTGGTGCCTTTGCTTCATCAAGACTGGGAATCACTGCACTAGTGTTGAGGATTCCTTCACCTGACTTATTTTTCCCTCCTTGACACGCACGGGACACCGCACCATGGGTGTGGCCCAGCCTTCGAGAATGCAGGTAGGTGTACTCCAGTCTTTAAAAATAGCACAGGGGGTGCGGGGGAGACTTGCATTTCACCGAGAGACAAATGACAAGTCATTCGCATGCGTGTGTTGGTGTTTACAGTGTGTTTATGTCAGGGAGGACCGTGTGAACGTCGCCTGATTGTGTCAAACGCTGACGCATGGCAGGAGTGTGTGACGGCTCCATGATCCGAGACGGAGACACACACAGCCAAGCCATGACAAGAATGTGCGCCGGCGTGGGAGCAGAGAAGCTGCAAGCAGGCATGCACATCGCCAGAAAAAAAAATGTATAGAAATGTACAGCACAACATTTGACAACTTCTTACCAACTGCCGGAATATTTCCAATTTTTATCATCATGATTATTAACAATGCCAAACAGAGTCTTTGTGACTCACTTCACTGGACTTTGATTTTGAGGGTTTTGATGGCAGGCTCCTATATTTACATCAAGTCAAGTTCAACTTTATTGTCAAATGCGCTGTACGTGCAACATACATGCAGTCAATATTCGGGTTAAGGTCAAAACTACAATTTCTGAAACCTTTGCAATAACACGTTTATGCGCGTGACTGTATAGAGTTCCTCCCGCATTTGAATAACCCAACGCCCAGATGTCGCGATGCAAATAGAAGTCATTTCCAGATGTTATTTTCCAACCATCAGTAAAATATCATAATATAAGATTTAAAACAATAAAATAAAATAAAAATAAAATAAATTAATAAAAAAAATAAATGCCCGATGAACGTGCGGTAGCTCAGTGCTAACATATAAGTCAAGGCCATCCAACCATTTTCTATAGCACTTGTGCTCGTTGAGGTCCCAGGGCAGCTGGAGCTGACTTTGGGCGAGAGGAAGGGTACATCCTGGACTGATTGCCAACCACTCACGTCATTTTTGTGCCACTCAATTTTCATGCTGACCTTGTCGAATTGAACGGTTTATACCATACCCCGTGTGTCATCTCTTTGGCAGTTGCCTACTAATGCCCTCGTTTGCAATGTTCAAAACAGACAGCATAAAGAAAAAAATAGATCTTTTTTGGCTTCCCACCCAAAATCAATTAGATTCTCATTTCCTGTTGACAAACACAACAAAACCAATGTTTCAATGCAAGTAACTGAGTAACCACAATTGCTGTAATTTATGCCTTGAAATGCTTACAAGGACAAATTAGGGATTGTAATGAGTGATTGCTGCGCTGTGCTCGGCCCCCAAAAGTGACTAAACTAATAGCGAGTCCAAAAAAAAAATCGAAAGAGGTTTGCATAGCTCACGCTCTACAGTGCAGAACATTAAGGAATGCATCAAGCGATATGAGGTGTTGCACGAAAAGGCAAGGGAGCTCCTCAAAGTTGAACACCGCTGATCAACAACTGAATTGCCCCCCCCAAAAAAACATGATGCTTAATTCATACTCTCCACGATGAAACTATTTTCTTCAGGTGGCTGTAAATGCAGAAAAATAAACATGAAAGAAACTCACGTTTGTGTGTGCGTGTGTGTGCGTCGGTGTGCGTATCAGCCATGTCTGCAGGGTGAGGTGGAGGCCGATGCTTTGGCAGCAGGTCTGGCACGTCTTTCAGGCCCAAACCTGCACAGAGGGTGAAAAAGGAGGAAGAGACTCATCACATATAGGCGTCGAGTCTGGCTGCCCTGGTGCCATACGTTTCACTTGATTTCAACTCGCCACATCCGCCCCCTTAAATGCCGAAACATCATCACAGTCATTTTGCTCCCTTGCCATTTGTACGAAGTTCTGTGCGTGAATGTTGCAAGATGATCATTCAAAGCAGCAGCGTTTCGCAACCGATTCAAAAGGCATCAGAGAACAAAATGTGCAGCGTGTTCAGGAAAAGCCAGTTAAAACTTTTAAAGCCAGAAAGAGCAGAAGAGTTCATCTCTGAAGTTTGCTCGTAACTTCCGAAAAATAAGCCAAGGACTAAAATTACAGAGGAGCTAGCTATGATGTCATTTCAGGAAGATCATAACACATATAGGGTCGGTGCTTCTCAAACATTTTTTGCACCAAGGCCCATATTATTATTATTTTTTTAAATTCACACGGCACACCACCGAACAATGTCGTGAAAATACTGGAATAAAGAAACTTGTCATAATTTACATATGACCATTTAATTGTTCCTTTGGTCACTATACATCACTGGCATACATACATAAAGAAAGACACAGACACACACACACACACACACACACACACACACACACACACACACACACAAAATATTGCTATTTGATTGTAAAGTCTAAATTTAGGAAGTAGTGACAGGCAACAAATTCTATTTTTCCAGTGTTCAATGTAGTGTTAATTGTATTTAACCAGTGATGTGCTGTCAGTGGAGGCAGGTGGGGCCCAGCCTCACCTGACATCATTGATGAAAAAAAAATGAAGAGAACATTTTTTGGGGGTAATATTTTATTTATACAGTTGCTGCTACTGTAAATTTATTTTACTTTGTTTTGTTTTTGTACTTTTGGTAAGATCAAAAAGTTTTTTTCTATGAGATGTGTTTTGTTGTGCGCTACCGTTTTTGTGTAAAAAAAAAAAAAAACGGTGATATGGGACTTTAAACAAAGCATAAATTGTTGCCAATGTAATTGTCAAAAAAACTATATATTTGGTTGATAATACGTTGGTAAATTTGACTGTGATGAAGTCAGTGCCTCACCTGCCTTGAATCTTACCGCACGTCACTGTATTTAATAACATTCTATGAGGTCATGTTATCGTGCACTGATTCAGTGGAATGGCCTGGACACATCCATCCATCCATACATCCATTTTCAACACCACTTATTCTGAACAAGGTCGCACGGAGTCGCTGGGGCCTATTCCAGCTGACTTCAGGCGGAAGTCAGTCTACACCCTGAACTTGTCGCCGGAGAGTCACAGCGCACATACAGAGACAAACCACCATTCATACCCACATTCACACCGTCACTGAGCGGGAGCCCACCTCACGTTGCCCGCACACAAGTCAGGCGAGTGTACCACTACAGCATCAGCGACAGGACTGAACACAGTTTATGTGAAATTTGTTTGGTGACTTCTCATAAGATTTTTTTTTTCCCTATGAAAAATATGTGCCTTGTCTCAATTAAAGCTGGAAAATTGCACGAGTACACCCTGCTGCTCTTTAACAGAAGTTAATAATAATAATAGTGATAGTTTGTCTTAGCTCATGGCAGTTGCGAAACTTGTTTGTCACTGCACTGGCACTGCGCTCCGGAATGTGTGGAAAGCATTTTTGGTAAACAGTTTCCACATCAGAATGGACAGTTTTTACATCATGAATGCCAGGTCGATTAAGAGCTTTGGCCCAGGACAAGTGTTCCATGTCAGCATGTGAGCTCCTCAGTCATCGAGAAGCTTTAGTCTCCTCCATTCCACGCTACATTTTCCCAATGAGCTAAAAACCTCTGCCTGCAGATGAAAGGATTTCCTGAATCGCATCCATATACGTCTACGGGATAATACCTCCAACTGATGCCGGTGCACCTTTAAAAGGGGGTATGTGTCGCCCCAGGCGGGCAATCACTCTACAATGTAACCACGGCACAAAAGTGACATTAGCGAGTGTATCAACTGCGTAACCTCAAAGGAAATCTCCATTCAGGCGTCCATAAAAGAACGTCTCATGCGAGCCCGTGTTGCGCCGACGGATTAGCGAGGGGGAACAGGTGAAGTCCTGTGGCAACGCACGTTTGCTCAGCTGTGCGTTATTCTGTATGGCGCCACGCCCTAGTAACCCAAGGCTTGGGAACCATCGCTCAATTTTGCTCTTTTTCCATCCTTCATCTCGTTGTTCTTGTATTTACACAGGTGAGAGGACCACAGTCCAATTGGTGTGGGACTTGAAAGTCCAGTTTGTCTGGCTGCTGGATGCTGTACACCTGTGTGCTACGGATGGATGGATGGATGGATGGATGGATGGATGGATGGATGGATGGATGGATGGATGCATGGATGGATGCATGGATGGATGCATGGATGGATGCATACATGCATTGGGTGGATGAAGCCTGACAGCAAAGGTAGGAGGATCTTTCCAACCGGCGCTTTTGTCCGGAGAGACAGACGGCAAACATACAGAAATTGAGGTGTGCTGCCAGTGAGTGATGCACTCAAGAGATCAGTCGTCATAATGGCCTGTTAGCTAAATTGAAAGAGCGACAGAGGCAGGGAGGGGTGGCGAGGGGGCAGAGCGATGAGGCGGTGCTGGATGTAATCCTCTGCGCAAACTTGTACACAGTATGAATACTTGCCATGCAGTCATTAAACTACAATGACAGACTCATTAGAGGCGAACAATCCTGTTTCGGGTCAGCATTAAAACTGAATCTGGCAAATTCAGAGATTTTTTTTTTTTTCCTCCAAATACTTTTATCTTTTGAGGATATTTGCTGAAAACGTGCAAAAAGGAGAAGTCCGTAATTTCTACTTATTGAATCACAGTATATTTCATGAAACAACAGATTGTTTGGGGTGTGGCTAAAATAACAGACTTGGGCCCTTGCATGATTCACATCTCCGCCATTATACAGTAGAAAAACTTCAGCTCATTTGTTCGCACCAACACTTATCCAGCACAATGGCAATAAATATTTAGCCCAACATACCTTGCATCCTTAAAAATGCAACTTCCCTTCAGATTAAGTGGCTGCTTTAGAGTGCCTCATTGTTCGCTGTGAGTGCATGCAGGTCACACAGAGAATGGCAGAGGAGCAAGGAGAACAGCATTTTTTCCGATTCGACAACCAGCATGTGGGTTTCAGGCTGGCGTGGCCGTTTTAGAGTGACTCATTGTTGACCGTGAGGGTGCGCATGTCACAGTGAGAAAGGTGGGACCGCAAGGAGGGCATACATTTTTATTTTTTAATCTGATTTGACAGCCAGTGTGTGGACCGGGGTTTTGCACAGGCTTGGCCGCATTAGAGTGCCTCATCGTCGCAAAGTAGATGAACATCGTGAGGACCCGGTGTGATGTATTCTAGCCACCGGAGCCTTGAGGCAAATATATTTTCATAGTTCCAGTGGTCATGTTCGTTGACATATTCAGTTGACAGTTAACCTCAGTGTGGTTTCAGCAAACATTGAGGGCACACCCACAGAGACATTGGATTGGTTTTTCATCATTTTGACGCATCATTTTATGAACTTAGCAATCATTCAAATTTGTCAGGATCGTTAATAACACACTTATCTGCGGTGTGTCAAATTTACAAGACATTTATCAGAATACTAGAATATACGGGACTTTAGGTGCTCAATGGGCAGGGGTGAGTAGATTAAATGAGTAAATGAGGCAAAAGATGAAACATGAAGTGAGGAAAAAAAATCTGGATCTGTACCTTTATCTGTGTTCTCGTCAAAGCTAAACATGTTCTTATTCCAACAACAAAGATGTGTGGAAAGAAAGTCAGTAGTTTTTGCGTAACCTCGTTCAGGTACAAGGCACATAAAGATTTGTTGGGGCAGGACACAAAGCCGTCACACACAAACCGGGGCCAGGTGCGACGTAACAGAGATGTGTCGGGTAATTGTTGGGATGAAGGTGGAGCAGCACAGGAGTGGTAAAAGTGAGATGAGCTGCGGTTTGCTCCCATCGGGCCAAAAGTTCAAAGTGAGGCAGGACAAACAGGTAACCTTAGATGCCATGTGCAACGACTCTCACGTGTTCTGCTCATTGTCTTCAACCGGGCCCAAGCTCGGGTTTCTGGAGCGCGCTGAGTTTCCTGGGATCGACCGCCAACCCCCACCCCTGCTTCACCTTGGACCCCGAGCCACGCCCCTGCTAAAAGTAAACACGGCAATACAATAGGTGCGAGAGCACAGACATATAATGTCAATATGTGAGCATTAGATAAACAACTCGGGCTCAAGCCGACCTGAGCTCACACGCACGTCTAGCGATTACTGAACCAAAAGGATAGGCAGAAAAAAACCCCACACATTTATTTAGGCACCCATTCTCTCTCTCTCTCTCTCGAAATGATTCTGCTTCACAAAGCGCAGGTGCTGAGATACCCACAACAAGACGAAGACGACTTCTTTTGCTTTACCTCACTCCCTCTCTCGCTCCATTTTTTTCTCTCTCTCTCAGATTCACACACACACACACACACACACATATATACACACGTTGCCCGGTGATCCAGTGGTTAACGCGTCGAGCTCACAGTGCAGAGGTCGTGGGTTCGATCGGCTCCCACATGTGCCCTGCGATTGGCTGGCAACCGGTTCAGGGTGTCCCCCGCCTACTGCTACTGAATGGCTCCAGCACCCCCCCGCAACCCTTGTGAGGATAAAGCGGTTCAGAAAATGGATGGCTGGATGGATACACACACACACACACACACACACACGCACACGCACACGCACACGCACACGCACACACACTGTTGCTAAAAAGTAAAGTGCAGAGAGTCTCTGTGGCCAAAATGCACAGATAGAGTCAGGGAACGGACGATCAAACCGATCGCTGCCCATAGCCTCTCATAATATCCGTTCTCTTCCTCCTTTATTGTCAACCACTTGCTCTCATTATGGCAATACATTTCTTCTTTGACAAT